ATAACCCTTTAACATTAAATCTGAATGAGCCCTTATCCGATTACTGGACATCCATTGCATTCTGTGCTGTATACACAAATCATCTGGAAAACAACAGCAATCCAGTGTCCTTTTTATGGGGCTAATAGCACGAGGTCATATGAGCAGCTCCTTTTATGGATTAGCCAAGAAAGAAATCAATAAACTATTCCCAAGCGCTTCTGGGGTAGTGTGCTGACATCACTGACTACATTAATTTGTCTGAAACATTCATTACAATATGGGAAACAATAAAGGCATTTTTATTTTTACAGACCTTTTATGTATAACCAAAAAGAGAGTAAGCATTTCAAAAATAGGTGTATGCATGCGGTCTTGCGTCTGTCTGTCTGTCTGTCTGTCTGTCTATCTCAGGAATGGATACATTGATAAGGAATTCAGGGGCCAGTCTGTCCAATCCAGGAGACAGCAGGATTTTTTTTTAGGTGCCAGCTCCATTGACAACAACTGGAAAGATCAAAAGTTTGGCGCCAGCTGTAATTTTTAGGAATCACATGGGACCTGGCTCCTGAGATTTGTGCAGCCCATGTGCTTCACTATTCTGAGTGTGCCTGCTTATGACAGTGCCCAGGTAAACTGTCCCACATATAAAAAGTTCAAAGGAGATGCAGCACAAACGTAAAAACAATGTTTGCTCCTCACCACTCTTTTTCAAGCTGACAGGACCTATGAGCTTGGAAAAGAGCGGAGACATTCAAAACATTGCTCTTGCACTGAGGTGTAAGCAATATTGACATAAACAGTAGTGCTGATTATATATATATGTTCCAATCACCTCCATGGCCACAGGCTAGTGTTATGATAGGTTGCCACCTGTGCAATAAGTCCATCTGGGAAATTTCCTTGCTACCAAATAATCCGCGGTCAACTGTTAGTGGAATTATAACAAAGTGGAAGCAACTGGGAACAGCAACTGAGCCAAAACGTGGTAGGCCATGTAAAATGACAGAGCGGGGTCAGCGCATGCTGAAGTATGCAGAGTCAATAGCTAGAGACCACCAAACTTCGTGTGGCCTTCAGATTGGCACAACAGCAGTGCGTAGAGAGCTTCATGGAATGGATTTCCGTGGCCGAGCAGCTCCACCCAAGCCTTACATCACCAAGTGCAATGCAAAGCGTCGAGTGGAGTGGTGTAAAGCACACCGCCACTGGACTCTAGAGATTGGAGACGTGTTCTCTGGAGTGACGAATCACGCTTCTCTGTCTGGCAATCCGATGGACGTGTCTGAGTTTGGCTTTTGCCAGGAGAACGGTACTTGCCTGACTGCATTGTGCCAAGTGTAAAGTTTGGTGGAGGGGGGATTATGGTGTGGGGTTGTTTTTTAGGGGTTGGGCTTCCAGTGAGAACTCTTAAGGCATCAGCATACCAAGACATTTTGTACAATTTCATGCATCAGTACCTGACCTCACAAATGCGCTTCTGGAGGAATGGTCAAACATTCCCATAGACGCCCTCCTAAACCTTGTGTACAGCCTTCCCAGAAGAGTTGAAGCTGTTATAGTTGCAACGGGTGGGCCAACTCAATATTGAACCCTACGGAGTAAGACTAGGATGCTATTACAGTTAATGTGCGTGTAAACGCAGGCATCCCAATACTTTTGGCAATATAGTGTGTGTGTGTGTGTGTGTGTGTGTGTGTTATATATTATATACACACACACACTAGCAGCAGTTGTACAATAACCTAAACAGGAAACAAAGTGATCTTGAAGTGATATAGAATCACTGCAATCTGAAATCACAGTGTGCGGAAAGCTCACATCCGTCACAAGCTAGCAATGTTCAAGCAATGATATGGTAGATATTTATAGAACAGGACAGAAAGAGGGACTGTGACAATATATAAAAAATGTTATGAATAATTACATGCAAAACAGTCATGGACAAGATTGTAAAAATCACCATGTGACCAAGCAGTGACTGCACTTTCTTGTGTGAAGGGGAAAAGGCAATAAGCCTTCCACTGAATGCCCTGCACCCATACGTCAGTGAACACCCTGGTGCTCTGCCGTCACCAGCAGTGATAGGCCAAAGACACCCTATTTATAACCCTTGGTGACACATTTGCCGGCCTATGACCTTCCTAAATCCACATCTTAGAAAATGAGGTAGTTTAAAGGCAGGGCCATACAATTAATATGCTCTATTCAATAGTAATTTCCCATCTTATTCCATTAAGCCTGGAGAGACTTTTAAATGTGCAGAGAGAATAGGATGGCCATTGTTGACCACTCATAGAACATGCTAATTGCCCAGGCTACTAGCATTTTCAGAAAGGGAAGCGATGGTTGCCTACATATTTCTTTCCTTGCAGGTTTATGACCTTGATTTTCAAGGTTAAGGTTTGCCAGGGAAAAAAAGAAAAGGTTTAATTACACTTTGAGTGATTACCACTACATAGTTAATAAAGTAACTGAAAGCTAATTAAGTGGATCCTAGTCTTCAGAGTGATTTTCTAATGTATTTATAGCAGAACGTCTTCCTAGTCACACAAGCCAAGTAAATGGCTGTGACATTGAAGCAGAATGGTTCAGGTGAGTGCTCAGCCTGATGTGTTGTTACTACACGTGGGGACAGTGTACTGTTAGGAGGGGTTACAGCTTGTTTGTGAGTGTGGCTCCAGCAATGTGGGAGGGATTGTGTAGCCTGTGGAGGGGGCGTTCCTGTTTTTGTGGGAGGACTTGTCTTATTGTTTATTTTAGACTATACATTGTTTTGCTGTGCAGCGTGTGCACCTCTGCCTCTACGCTCCACAAGGTGTTGGAAAGGAAATCCGTACGCTAGTAAAGTATCAGTAGTCTTTGTAGTACAGTGCGTAAGCCCCTTGCAAGCTCGTTTCCCAAGGTGTTGGTGGGGAAATCTTTGAGCCAGTACAGTGTCAGTAGTCTGTGTAGTGAGAGAACCCCTCTGACCCCATGTTCCCGGAGTTGTTAGTGGGGCAATCTGTGAGCTAGTCAAATAGCAGTAAACTGTGCAGTGTGTTAGCCCCTCTGCCCCCACATTATATTGTAAAGTGCTGCGCAAACTGTTGGTGCTATATAAATCCTGTATAATAATAATAATTCTACAAAATGTTGGTGGGGAGATACACAAGCTAGTACCATGTCATTAGACTGTGTAGTGCAGTGTGTGAGCCCCTCTGCCTCCATGTTCCACAGAGTGTTGATGGGGCGATCCATGAGCCAGTACAACATCAGTAGACTGTAGCACAGTGTGTGAGCATCTCTGCCTCTAAGTTTCATAAAGGTGTTGGAAGGGAAATCCATAAGCAAGTACAACGTCCGTAGTCTACGTAGTACAATGCGCAAGCCCCTTTGCCTGCATGTTACACAAGGTGTTGGTGGGGAAATCCATGAACCTCTATCATGTCAGCAGTCTGTAGTACAGCACATGAGCCCCTTTACTTGTATGTTACACAAGGTGTTGGTGGGAAAATCTATAAACCAGTACAGTGTCAACAGTCTGTGTGGTGCAGTGTGTGAGCCCCTTTGCCTGCCCATTACACAGAGTGTTGGGGTGCAATCATTGAGCTAGTACAGTTTCAGTAGGCTATGTAGTGCATGGTGTGAGCCCCTTTATCCCCACGTTCCACAAAGTGTTAGTGGGGCAATCCTTGAGCCACTACCATGTCAGTAGACTATGTAGTGCACTGGTGTGCCCCTCTGTTCCACAAGGAGTTAGAGGTGAAATCTATGAGCCAGTACAGTGTCAGTAGTCTGTGTGGTGCACTGTGTGATCCCCTCTGTCCCCATGTTCCACAAGGAGTTGGAGGTGAAATCTGTGAGTCAGTACAGTGTCAGTGTGCTGTGTGGTCCCCTCTGTCCCCATGTTCCACAAGGAGTTGGAGGTGAAATCTGTGAGTCAGTACAGTGTCAGTGTGCTGTGTGGTCCCCATGTTCCACAGGGAGTTGGAGGTGAAATCTGTGAGTCAGTACAGTGTCAGTGTGCTGTGTGGTCCCCATGTTCCACAGGGAGTTGGAGGTGAAATCTGTGAGCCAGTACAGTGTCAGTGTGCTGTGTGGTCCCCATGTTCCACAAGGAGTTGGAGGTGAAATCTATGATCCAGTACAGTGTCAGTGTGCTGTGTGATCCCCTCTGTCCCCATGCTCCACAAGGAGTTAGAGGTGAAATCTATGATCCAGTACAGTGTCATTCGCTGTGTGATCCCCTCTGTCCCCATGCTCCACAAGGAGATGGAGGTGAAATCTATGATCCAGTACAGTGTCAGTAGACTGTGTGATCCCCTCTGTCCCCATGCTCCACAAGGAGATGGAGGTGAAATCTATGAGCCAGTACAGTGTCAGTAGACTGTGTGATCCCCTCTATCCCCATACTCCACAAGGAGATGGAGGTGAAATCTATGATCCAGTACAGTGCCAGTGCACTGTGTGATCCCCTCTGTCCCCATGTTCCACAAGGAGTTGGAGGTGAAATCTATGATCCAGTACAGTGTCAGCAGACTGTGCAGTCATGCAGAGCACTGTACATCCGTTTATGGTGAGCTGCTCATTACAATGCTCTGTGTATCTAGCAAGTACAGGACTGACACTTGTATAGATAAGGCTCCAGCAGGCTCAGTACAACGCACTGTGACATTAACTCAAAGGACAAGGAGCTGCTGCCTGCATGCAATCCAAATGGCATACATGTCTATGGGACCTCTATGTACAAGGAGAGCAGGGGGGGTGATCGTAAAAGGACATGCAGGGTAAGCATACACCATCTGCTCCATGAAATGTCACAACAAGAAACAAACATGCCCAGTGACACACATCATACACAACGGCCATCTGTCGTACCAAATGCCAGCTATAAGCCAGCACACCGACACAAGCCCCCAATGTCACCCTTCCCGTGCATACCGTCACATTCTCCTGCATGCATGTCAGTGGGGCCCTATGGGGCCCATCGGACAATAGAGAGGAAATACAGACACAACATATGCTTAGAGGACACTCACTGCGATCTGGGGTTGTCTCTGCAGACTGTCTCTTGCCTCCTGATCCTTTCTGTACAGCTGTCTGATAGATCTGAGAGACACCCAGACAAAGGCGCATAGACACTCCCAAAGAAAGAGACAGCCAGGGGAGGGGCTCCGAGGAGGGAGGGCCAGGGAGAGAGACTGCTATGAGACTCAGGGGGGGGACTGGACTGACAAGCTCTGGAGACAGCCAGGAGTAAGGGACAGACTCCCCCACAGGGATGGCAGGCAGGCTAAACCAGAAAAACATCAGCAATGAGATCAGGACAGGCAGCCAGGAATGCCAATGAGGGGTGCAGCCCTGCAAAATGTGTGACAAGGAGAAAAGCTCAGAGGATGCACACAGGGACCATGGGCTCAGCCAGAAGATGGCTTCATATCCCAAGGAACAAAATAGCTTTTTTTTCCCCCTGGGTTGCTTAGGAGACAGCATTCATTGCCTGCAATCCACATGGTTCATATAAAGCAGTTTAAACACTGCACCCATGGAGGAATTCAGGAGTGGAAATGCTAAAGCATAGGTTTTATTTCAGCTTAGAAAATCGTTCCTTCTATGTGACCTCTACGAAAATCCTTCCAGCCCTAGCACTGTGTGTTTTCTGACACTTGTACTAGGATTTGTTCTGTACAAGGCTGATCAGTCATTGTGTCTGATTGTTTGTAAACAAGGATCTAGGCTGTCATTACAAAGAAAAATAGGATGTGTTGGTAAATTGCAAACTCATTTGGTCCACATCATTCTATGATGGGGTTGTCAGAAGTTGTTTTGTCCCAAGTAATGATGCATTCGTCATTTCGTTTGTTGAATGTTTATTGAAGCTCTTCTGAAAAGCCAGCAAGTGTTTGTCCAATCCGCAAGTGCTGAAGGGAATAGGTCTTGTCACTGACTCAGATGGGGTTTCGCTTGTAAATGAGTCTGAAGAACGTTGTGTATGGCAAGTTTTTGGAAAGTATTTGGAAAAGCTCTCAGGCAGCTTGCTTGAAGCCTTTGAAACACCCTTTAGCTCCACATTAGGAATGGTGACACACACCTTCATGGGAGTGCTAGCTGTTACTTCAAACAGGCTATCAAGAGTTTACCAAGCTTCAAGTAGTGCTTCCTTGTACACAGGGGCTTAATCAGGGGAAAAAAAACAATGGGGGAGATTCATAAACACTGGTACAGATAGAATCTGGAGCAGTTGCCTATGCAACCAATCGGCATCTCTCTTCAGTTTGTACAGTTAAAGAAGAACTTCGGGCAAATATAATCTTAACCCCATCCCACTGCAAGAGCTGAGTGCTTGTTTTACCTAGCTAAAAGCTAAAAAAGTTATACTCATCCTAGCCACGATCCCAACTGACTCCTAGACTGGTCAGTTTAGCCCTGCTCCCTCTCCACTCCAGCGGTCTAAGGTCCAGTGAGTCATCACGTCTTATACAGGCTGTAGGACGTGAGGACGCCATGAGACATTTCATCACTGTTATTTTAGCTCCCTAGACAAAATGAGCACCACTGCAAGGGTTAAAAATGTATTTGCCCGGAGTTCTTCTTTAAGCCTTGAGAGTGAAACAGAGAAGTTGATTGGTTGCCATGGGTAACTGCACCAGATTCTGTCTGCTCCAATTTTCATAAATTCCCTCTGTTTTTGCAGAGGGGTATCGCCCGACCCAGTGATGTTCACCTTGCCAGCACGCTCCTTCCATCACAACTGGCACTAAAATCACTGGTGTTGGACACTAGACAAAGCAGTGACATCACTCTCTCTTTCATGTGACACTGCTGGAGCTTAGCAATTGGCTGCTAGACCTGAGCACTGCCACATGAAAGCAGGTCACATGCTCCCCGATACCCAGAAGGGGGTCGACCGATTATCAGATCGACCGATTATTATAGTCACAAATTTTGATATAATCGGTATGGGTCTTAAATTTACCGATATTTCCAATAAGTGCTGTGACAGGGAAAGGCTGGCTGGGGGAGGCTGGAAAAGTGAATATCAGTGGGTAGGGGGACCCTTTGCTTGGACATTGTGACTTTGCCCTCTATAGGCAAGGTGACCGTGCCACTTAAACGCACCATCGGCACCAGTTTGCGAATGATAAATACATATCTTAATGGGAGTGCTTGCTGTCATTTTAACCAAACTGTCAGCAGGCTTTCAGTAAACTTCAGCACTACTTCAAACTTGATGAAAGACTGATATCACCTTGCTTAACAGAAATGTATCTTATTTGTGTATCACTCGGCTGTAGATTCTCACTCCCATGATGTACTACAATCTCATGTTTAGTTGACTAATTTGTATTGAAGTTATAGTCCATCATGGGAGCGAGCTTTGTGCATTGGCTACTTTCCAACGCACACAGGGACCATCCTGGAACAAAAGTAGCCACCCTCCAGAAGGAAGGACAGTGTCAGCACCAATTCAGAGATGATTTGAGGATCTACAGCTGAGTGATACACAAATAAGATACATTTTTGTTAATAGTTGGGGTACATGAATGTATTTTTAAGATTTAACTCCTGAGTTTAGTATCACTTTAATGGCAACTTACAGAATGAGAGGTATCAATCCTTCCTTCATCCTTTTTTATGTCTTTTTGTGTGTCCCGTTTACCCCATTCTGCTTTGATTCTATCCACCTTGTTTTCTGTCCTGTTTTATGGTTACAGCTTTGCAGCAAACCAGTGTTGGCTTCAAACAGCTAATCAAATACAAGGAAAATTTCTATTTTTTTTTCCCTTTTGGCTTGATTAGCTGTTTGAACAGAATTTGGCTTGGCAAACCTTAGTGCATGAAACAAATGAGCATGTTAAATATTTGTGACTAAATCTTAAAGTGACCTACCATTCAGGGCAAAGTAACAGTGCCTTCTGATAGCCCATCACCCAAGCAAAGTACTGTATACTCTCCAATTCACGCACTGTTTAGGCTGAAACATGTAAGCAGGAACACTTTGTGTTCTACTTGCATTTCTGATAAAGTTGATTTTGAAGGAATTTGTTGTGTGACGGCACGTCTACAATGTATGCTGGTGGAAAATGGTGTTTATACTGCACAACGGATTGACCAGCACTAGAGGCATCAAGACACAGCATGCAAAACCAACATTATTCCAGGTGCGTATCAGAGCTCATGAACTATTATCTTAAAGGAGAACTATGGGGTCAGTGTTTTCCCCATAGTTCTCCTTAGGGTAACGGGAGGACACAAACTAGCGTCCTCTCGTTACCCTAAGCTCAGTATACCGCGAGCTACAGCTCACGGTGTACTGAGACGCTGCAGCCGGAGCGTATCCCGACGTAGATGACGGGATCCGCCCAGCTGCGTGAGTGACAGCTGTCTCTGCCTATCTAGAGGCAGAGCCAGCTGTACCCGGCCCCTACCCGTCCGTTCCGCCAGTCAGGGAGATCGGGGAGAGGGGAATCCAGCCCCTCCCCCTGTCACGGCAGAGAGCCGTGTCAGCATCGAGAGGCGAGCGAACACGGTATGTGTTCGCTCACCTCCCGATCTACTGAGCCGACCTATGACAGTCTCATTGTCACAGGTCGGCTAGAACTATGAGGTGAGTGAAAATCACTCATCTCATAGTTCTCCTTTAATGTTGGAAACACAATGCATGAGGTAGCACAGAGGAGCAATAATAAACAATATATAAAGAGACAGACACTCATATAATGGGCAAAATTGGCCACAGTGTTTATCAAGGGGTAGCTCAACATTTCAATAATGAACATTAAGGAGGTTATTCACAAAAGGATGAAGAGTTTGGAGAAGACAGGAGACGTGAACAATCTAGGCCTAAATAGCTGATTTGGAAAATGTCTCCAATTCAGCTCACTTTCCAGTTCAGCTATTTTGTCCTAGATTGTTCACTTCTCCAAACTCTTCACCCTTTTGTGAATATCCCCCTAAATAACTAAAAAGGCCTGTCCTTAAAGGCACAGACCCAACCGTATAAACAATACAACAGATAATCATATCACAATGTCCATCGATGACTAAACTGGATGACTAACCCCCACTAAAAAACACCATGACGAGAAACAAACAGAAAGAGGTAGGAGGGTGGGAGCTGTGGTCCGGATTCTGTAAACGGTTTGGTAAGCTGCTGCAGCTGGGGAGGAATAATATGTGAAATGCGCGGCAAAACGCCTGCCCAAAATTGACCAATAGAGCGCTGTTTCTAGGGGAAATTTCCCATACGTTTCACCAATAGCGACCTGTAAAATAAGAGGGGGAGTATTAGGGCAAGCATAGTGCCCTCTGTACTATCCCATGGGGTCCACACATAGTACTAACATTCTGGGTCATTTAAGAAGTCCTCAAATGGCTGAGTATACAGTTCTCTTTCTTGGTACATTCACAGAATACACAGGCAAACATTATAATTTGTTGTGCGTAAGCTATTTTACACTTAGTACTCACTAGTGCCAAGGGGAGCCATTGCCGTATGTTTCCAATGCATGCCAAGTCCTCTTTGGAACTTGGTCTATGAGCTTTGCATTTAGGCAGATGGCTTAATATAGATAGGAGCTTAGTGAACTGTTTGACCTGTTCTGTGTTAGTTTTGTGTTAGTCCACATTTGAGGACCTGTTGACATCTGTGTAAACAGCAGTAAACCCTCATGAAAGTTTATGACATGCAGAAAATCAGTTATTCTGAGGCTCTTATCAATAGCTCCCCCAAAGGGTCCCCTTCACATGAAATCCAGATGAAATACATGTCATACCTGTCAAAGGATCACACCACTTTCTCTGTTACAGTTATGGACTTCAGATAAATTACAGTAGTTTCTTCTCTCCTCCTCCAGCCTGCTGACTTGACCTTGAAAAAGCAGCAACAGGCTGATCGGGTCATCTCTCTGCTCACTCTGCTCTCTCCTCTAAGTAGTATTTGTCTTGTCAGTACATTTGTATAAAGCACACCTGTTCGGTTCTTATTGTTACCTCTCCCAGTCTGAGTTCTGTTGTACAAGAAACTGCAAGAGGCTGATATTAAATCAGATTCAGGTAATTGAATAATAAAAAAAATAATTAATGAGTACGTAACTGTGTTAATGCGCGTCTTTTTTATCTCCCTGAAGTTTAGCTTTATAT